TCCCTACAGGAAGCCGCGACCACGTGTCACGGGAGGGAAAATGGCCGCGGATCCTGTTCGTTAACCCGATCAGGCGTTCGTGAACGGAGGCAAAATTTTGCGAATGGAGCTGTTTGTGAACTGAATTGTTCGTGAACAGAAGCGTTCGTGAACCGAGGTACCACTGTACTTAGGTAGATTTAAATTTAGTTTTAAGAAGAATAAAAATGGTCTAATACCAGACTTGCACTACAGATGTTCATCTTCTAATCTTGGATGGCATTTGCAAAGAGATGAGGGTTCATAGTTATATCAGTCTTCCCTTTCTGAACCTCTTCCATTGTTTTTACTGATTTCCAGAAGTTTGTTGGAAGAAAGCAAATTAGATCTTTAGATCTTTATATGGCATATATTTTTGGAGATTACAGTCTACTATACATGAACTGTTATTCAGAATTGCACGCATGTCTTTGCTGTACAAAAGAGAACAGAATTTCTATTTCTTATAAGCAATATGCTACTTACTCTTGATAGTGCTTGCCTTGTCAGGGTCTCAAAAGCCTGCACCACATTAATATCATTCTTGGCACTAACTTCAAAATATGCAATATCCTTCTTCTTGCACCAGGATGAAGCCATCTCTTTGGACACCTAAAAATAAAAGGAATTTGATTAGCTAGTTTAAATATAATATCTACATGGAAAGTTGTTTCTTTCAAGAGTGAATGAAATGAATGCAATGAAAGTGCTGTTTATATTTGTCATCCCCAAATAAAGGAATGAGAGTTACCTTTAGCTCTTTATATTCTTGGAAGCATCAGAAATATGGACAGAGATTCTTGTTTTCCTTGGAGAAGATAAACTGATGGGTAGGGAATACATGGTACTAGCAGTATCCAAATGAATTGTTACATAGATTTATTTTTGCTTCCTTTTGCAGGTCTTGATTTAGTAGAAGACCAATTTTCATTTAAACTTTAAGAACAATTTCTTAAAAACAGTTGTATGTAAGTTCAGACTTATGCAGAAGAGATTTTTTTATTGAAGGACTTAAGCAGGGGCTGGAGAACCATCTGCTGTAGGCGTTCAACTGTCAGATTTCTTGCATTGTGCAGGAGCCGGACTCAACAGTCAACAAGATCCTATCAATTTTGAGCCAGTATCTGGCAAAAGGAGTGCACAGGAATGCAGATCTTGTGCACAAATACAGTTTAGTCCCAACATTCCAGTATTTCAGGAAAGGTCAAAAGGCATATGAGTGTGTTAAAGCTGCAAATAATTCTTTTTGTTACAGAAGTGTTAGCTTTTTTTTATCTTCACATTATTGTCCTGGAAACAAACTGAAAATTCCCTCTCCTCTCTTGCCCTCACAATCCATTCCATGTGTAATAAGCTGAGTTCTCCAAGTCAGAGAATTTTGGGTTCTAACAGAAATGGACTTGACCGATAGCTCTTATTTTGGTATCCTAATTCATGAACCCAATCACACTGTTAACCTGACTGGTATTTTCAGTTACATAGACCACCAGGAGGCACCATGTTACCAGTTTCATCCTTATTGGGGATTGTCAGACATGGCTAGCCAGCTGTTATTCTATGTGATTCAAACCCCCTACCAGGAAATAAACTCATGATCTTAACCCTTGGATGACTATATACGGTGCATTAGCTTTAGAAGGTATCTGGGTCCTGGTGCTCAGCAGTTTACAGGAAGATATATAAAGAGTCTATATATATCATTCAATAGCCACTGATAACCTAAAGGATCCTTGTTCTAAGTCAGTAGGCAAAATAGTTCATAAGTAGCTGCAGGTTTCCACTGACATTTTATTTTTCATTTTAGAAGGATGGTCAAGTGAAATCTGTGTAACACGTTAGGGAGTGTGGAAGCCATACTATGCTAGAGAGACAGAGTTGTCTAGGATCAAGAATTCTCCCCTCAGACCCTGATTGGCAGACTCTTCAGATACACAGAGAGCTCTATATCCAGCTTCCACCCCCATTTCTACTTCCACCTCTTACTTGTCGATCCTTCAGATCAATTTTATTCCCCAGCACAACCATAGGGAAGCCTTGCTCTGTAGAGTTGACCTTTTGAAGAAAATCTTCCCTCCAATCATCCAAGGACTCAAAAGAATCCATATCTGTGACATCGAAAGCCAGCATGCAGCCATCTGAACCTTTATAGAATGTGGACACAATAGACCGGAATCGTTCCTGGCCTCCAGTGTCCCAAATCTAAAGGAGGAGGAACATACAAGCATTAGTATTTACAGTGTCAAAAACTGTATAATCCCAGTCATATTCTTATTTTATCCCTCTACCTACAGTTCCCAAGGAGCCTTTCTGCACTAACAGTGGCTGCAGCAACCATTGCAGCAAGGATAGGAAACCTTTGGATGTGGGGTGCACATCTGGAAGCCTGAAAGCATGTGATAAGCATACTCATTATGTGACTACCAGAACACACTAGCCTGTTCACAAAGTGACTGCTATAATGGGGACAGACATTTTCAAGATCTCCACATATCAGAATGCAAACTAGCCCTTGGGGTGCTTTTACCATTCCAGTGGGGCTTCTGTGGGTCTCAAAGGCACTCATATAAAAATCATATGGTACCGAAGGTGGATACTTTGCTTTGCAATATGCCTCCTTCCTCCCTAATATTAAGCAAACAATACAGTCAAATGGGGAACTACCTGGGAGGCACACTGAATAACACAGTCAAAGCTGCCGCTCACCTTTCTTGATATTGAGGGAAAGTACTGAATAAGGAGCCAGACCCCAGACTTCAAGGAAGGAAAACAGAGTGTGAATGAATGAGCAGCAGGTTCCATTCCGCAGGGGACAATAATTAAGATTAAATTTGTATGGACTATCAATACTGACTTTGATGGGGTATCATCAATTCAGATTAGCAGGAGAACTGGTGCTCACTGAGATTGGCTAGCAAAAAAACTGATTTGGGACAAATTTGAAGAGGCTGTTACACAAACTGCTATACTGTGCTCACTATTGAACTGCCCCCACCCCCCACAGTCCCAATTGGTCATTGAGATATAGGAAGATGACTCCTCAAAGGAAAACCAAAACACCACTGGGATATACAACACTTTGGGAGGTGACTGTGTGAAAAATAAAGTCCCCATTTTAGTGAGAGGTGCAGTTATAAAGTGATATTCTTAAGCTCTGAAGGAGATAGCTCCTTTTCCACCTAACAAATATTATTAAAAGGCTTATGATTTTGTACGCTGCAGCTCACTTCATCAGATGCATAGCTACCAGACTCCTCCTGATTTTTGCCACCATGACTCTCTTCCTACAATGTCTTAAGCTCTGGTCTCCCTTGGAAATTTGCTGCCAACAACAATATAAACATATGTAAGTATCTCACAATATCTGTCCTTTCGTTATAGTGCATTTGACTGAGCTATAAATATTTGGCTCATCATTAGATAAGTGATCCAATTAAACATTAAAACATCTGTCACCTGCAATTTCAGTGGTGTGCGGTCTACTTCCATAACTTTGGACAAGATACTAGCTCCCAGGGTGGTGCGATAGTCTTCATAAAATGTCTTGTGTATATACTGGTGGAGGAGAGAGGTTTTTCCTACACTGGGGTGAAAGAAGAAGCACATGTACAAATTTCATTTCAGCAGATTTGAACTGAACTCTTTAAAGATTGCCCACTAATGTTTTGTTTTACTTGAACTGATGAAATTAGAGAATCCTTATCAAAGACTTAACAATTATTGCCGATAATCAAATAAATCTGTACAAATGTTAGAACTATTTAGACAGACTTTATGCAATATAGTTGATCAGTATGGCTTGTCTCAGCTCCTGTGTCCACTGCTTTACAATCTGTTCGAGAGACAAACATGAGATCATCTCCTGACTACGTTCTTGTATAATTTGTAGAAGATGCGCCTTTCTTTGCATCTAAGAATATAACGGTCTGGAAGTTTCACTCCATGTACTGATGGTGCTATCATTTAGGTTTGTTCGTTTGATGATGATCCAGGATTTAGGATCTGCACAGCAAGTATTAGATGCGCGAGTTAAATGAATTTTTCAGTACAACATATTTGACTGGCACTGGCCAACAAGAAATGCTTAGAGTTGCCATTTTAATCCCATATTCAGACTGCAACCTGTTCTTGAATTTAGCAGGCTGTCTTTATTGTAATTTTTGTAAGCAGGCACTTTCTTATTTTTACCTAATTTTCCAGAACACCATTTCTATTCTTTGGTTTGTCCCGATTTCCGCTTCTTGTGCTTATGAATTTTCTTACACAACATCCATTTACTATAATTACCCTGGCATATTCTAATTGCTTCATCTGCAAGCAATGAGCAGACAACGGAAGATCTCTGATCAATATACAAGCATTTTGAAAGAAATGTAAACTCAGATGAATACAATAATTCTCATACAGTACTAGATTAGGGGCAGCAAAGCCTATTTTCTTCCCTTGCAGCTTTCCCAACTCCAGAAGAAAAAATGGAAGCTCAAAATGTTATATGGCAAATGGTAAAATGCTGGATTATGAATGGGGAGACCTGGGTTCTAGTCCAACCTCACCCACAGAAATTTGTGGGTGACTTTGGGCCAGTCCCTTTCTCAGCCCTCTCTCCCAACAGGGTTGTTGTTGTGGGAAAAAATAGGAGGAAGAGCTACATACTAATAATATAATGTGATGAAGATGTACCAGCAAGTCTGTGTGGACTCCTAGTGACCATATAAATACATTGTCTCCAGGGAGAAATCATATTCAGTACTACTAATAAATATTTTTATTTTTTTTTCTACTTATATACCACTGCATCAATACACACTCACAGCAGTTTACAAAACAGTAAAAAAAAAATACTCATAACAGTTCATTGGGTCTGGGAATAACTCAAAATCCATTTCAAAATTGCAGTGTGATTCAATTTTTTGATTTGGTTCAACTTTTAATATCCAAATCAATCAATTGTGCCTGCATGTGTGAAATTTGAATGTCCATGTACATTGCATATGCACACATGTACTGAACTGATGTAAAGCCATCCAGTTTCACTCAATGTACCAAATCAATTTGGTGATTCAAATATTCATTTCAAAGAAGTGATTCCATTAAATTAGTTTCAGATCAAATCTTCTAAGTGAATCTTTGTATAGCACATACAGTAGTTGCAAGCATTGATATAAAATGTAATTGACAGAGCAATCCTATGGATTGTTTATTTGGAAGCAAATAGCATGTTCTATTTCCATTACATAAATATACTTATGATGTTTGCAATGTAAGGGTATGATCCATTTCAAAATTCAAAAGCTTTAAGATTCATGTATTATTTTGTCAATCAAATATATTACTGTAACTACAGATAACTTTAAAAAGGAACAAACATTCTGCCTGCCTGCCTGCCTTGTTATTTATCTGGTTGATGCTCTAGCACATCACTAACAAATTGCTAACTCAATTTGGCCATACTAGTAGCGCAAGGTGGATAGCTATAGTGTGGTATTTCTGTTAAAATCAGCAAGTAGAAATTCCATTTTCTTCTGGACTGACTGACTGTAAATCTGCAGTGAACTCACCTAAGTACTTGGATCTTTTTTTATAACAGGTCAAATACAATGGTCTTATGTCATAGGGCTTTTTTCTAAACTAATATATCTAGATAGTGAAGAAAAGGTTTTGTTTTTTTTTAAGGAGCAACTTTATTAAATCACAAAACCCATCTGTCACATCCATAATTTTGCTTTACTGTATTTATGGTGGTTCTAAAAAATTATTAGGTTTTATCGTAAAAAACCACTGGACATTTTATGATGCACAGTCAGTTGCATTTCATATATCTGTCACCAATCCTTTAAAAAATGATTGCAACAGTTATTATATATTATCTTAGAAAGAGAGAATTAGAAGAACTGAAATAGTATATTAAGTGTTCATGGACATGAAATTCCATTTTCTAAAGGTAATATATATACATTTTCCCCAAATATATGCTTATGACTCATCAATAATGAGGAAGAGAGTGCTTATGAATGAGAATTATCTGGCAGCTAGTCTGCGGAGTCCTTGAACTCCACCTGCCTATTCTTATTTAAAGTTCATCCCATTGACGGGATGCTTCTGCTTCCCCTGGAGAAAAAAATCTGGGTGAGAAAAAAATTAGCCAAGACTCTAACACAGAAACAATGGATACAGATTTGCTTATGAATATTATGCAGCAGATTCAAGCCTGGAATTTCATGTGCTTCCATTCTGCTCACAAATGCCTGAAATTTAAAACCATCAAAGTTCCTCTTCTTCCACTCTAAACTTTACACTAATTAAGTATGTGAATCTACTTTCATTTCTAGTGGAAATACTTTTTTCTCTTTCCAGTGTCAGAAAATAATTACACTATTATTCTCTACAACTTATTTTAAACTTGTTAGTTTGATCAAACTTGCAAGATTCTGTTATTATAGCCTACCTCAATAAAAGTAATTTTAACCTTCTTGTGGAGTTGATTATATTATAGCCTACCTCAATAAAAGTAATTTTAACCTTCTTGTGGAGTTGATTACTTGGTCTGGTCTACCTAGTGGAGCGGACATCAATCTTGCAAGTCCGATTATGTAGTACTCCTCCTCCTCCTTTCAGTAGGAATTAGGCAGGTGTCTGTCTGAGCTGCTTCTGAATATTTTCTGCCTGCTGTGGACTTAAAATGTGTTTAATTCCTTGTTGCCTTAGCAATGGATTTTGCATATCTCTGTCAAAGTCATCTTCCATACTCTCTATATTGCTCCATGAGGTCTAGCAGAGGGCATGTTCCAAGTCCCTTCTATTAAACAATGTCATCTTGTTGCACCCAAGAGTCATGCTTTCTTCTTGGCAGTGCCTGCCCTGGGGAACAACATTTCCCTGGAGATCCAGATGGCCCCAACTCTGTTACCTTTTGTAAGGCTTTGAAGACCTGGCTGTTTCACCAGGCATTTGGGCTAGGAGGTTAGGTGAGCGCTGCTGTTGGTGTGGTTTTACAATTGGGATGTATTATTCCAATTGGGTGTCATGGGTTATTGTTTGTAACTGTTGGTTTTAATCTTTGTATGCCACCAAGAGTCACTGCTGTGAGATGGGCAACCATCTAAAACAAATAAATAAATCAAGCAAGCAAGCAAGCATCACTTCTGGGACAGCCAGTAGAGAGCCAGAGTCAGAATGGGACACCCCAGTTCAAACCAGTCACCAGTCAGCTCTGTGACTTTCAGTCAGTCTCTGTTTTTTCTTTTCTCTGTCTCTTTAACCTATCTCACAAACTTATTATGAGAATAAAATGGGTGCTGGGGATGGGAGAGAAAAATGCATCCATAGAAAAGATTTTAAAAATATGCTTACCCCAAAGCTCCAATGATAATGATTTTCAAATCCACTCTTTTACTTGAACTCATGAATGCAACCTACAGTGTGGGGAGGAGGAGATAAACTATTATTTTGCATCTCAAGCCATCAAAATGATAGAAATCCACCAAGAAACAGATGCACAGCATAGTAGCAGTAATAATCATTAAATCCGAAGCATCTTATTGTTTTACTTACTTTGTTTTACTATAGAAAAAGTATGTTTGTTTTTGGATGAGACTTTTTAATAAACCTGCTCCTGAGGATTATGCTGTGTAGTATTTAATGTCTGTCTGTCACAAAGAGTAGATGGACAGATTTAGCAGGCCTGCTCACGTTTCCAAGCAGTGTCAGTGTCAGGGTTGGGTTTAAATCCTGCCAGCTAGGAAGGAATAAAAAGAAAGAGGGAAGAAGGGAATTTCTTGTTCATACTCATGCCTGGAGAACAACTGAGATTTCCTGAGAAGGACTTCTCTGCTTGGAAATACCCCCCCCCCAAAAAAAAAGATCCTGGAGAATGTCCTCCTTGTAGCATAATGAGACAATTGCTTCTTCCATGCTTTAAACAAGAAGTGGGGTCTGGATGGGTAACCAGTCAATTAAAAAAATTATGCAAAATTTTCTTTCTGACCTCATTCAAGTATTATTCTTTATGGTTCCATTCACCTTGTATTCACTGCCAGTGACTGTGGCTGATTCTTTGCTTCTTCCTGGCTAAGGTAGCTCCTGCTGTTGTTAAATAGCCATCAACTGCTGTGTGGTCAATATGTAACTGCACCTTATCTCAAGCTATTATACGTAGAGCATACACAGTCTGTCATACCATGTTTCCGCATTTATTTTCTGTGGGATCAAAACGCAGGACACAAATGCAGAATAATCAAGGCTTCACTGCAGTGTTTATTGAGCAGTA